TGGCCATTGTCTGGCTGTTTCCAAGTGACCAAGTGACTGTCCCCTTCCCCCTCCCACTTCTCTGGCACTGGGCGTTCCCCCAGCCTGGCCCCTGCTCTGCAATACCCAGATTTAGGGCTGGAGTCACTGAGCCCTGTGTGGGTTCAAGCCGGGATGTGGCCCCAGAGAAGGGTGGGTGAGCAGGGAGCGGGATGCAGGAGCCCCACAGGGTGGGGGACTGCTCTGCCTCAGCTGCTGGGGTGCTCAGCGAGCTGAGGCTAACACCCCATGGCCTAGGGGAGCAGGAATGGGAGGGGTAGGGGTGGGTGACCCCAAACACAGCTCTGGAGCACGGTGAGGACAGCATGGATTGTCCCCCTTCCTTGCAGAGAGCCAGGCACCATCCTGCACCCCTTGGGGCTGGGATGGGCAGAGGATGCTGGTGCAGGTATAGGGGCTGGAGGGGCTACAGCCAGGGGCAGCTCCAACATCCCCCTTGGCTTCCATTGGGACCAGCTGCCCTGTGTCCTGCAGCACTGGCAGTGTCCTCCCTACCCCTCCTGGGGGCCCTGTGGAGGATCCTGCATCCCTTCGGCCATGCCCACTGCCAGAATAAATAGAAAGTGTTTGCTAGCTTGGCAGCTCCTCCACAAAAGCCGTATTGAACCATTATTCCCTGCGCCGGCTGCGAGCACTAAAAGTGGCGCCTCGCGTTCTGCCATCTAATGACCCTTTGCAGGCTCCTACAGATGTTTTCTATGACTTACAGCTCCTTTTCCAACAGCCCTGTCCACAAAAACAAGAGGGGCCACTTTAATTCCAATTAAATACCTCCAGCTAAGCAAACAGTGTGCAGCAGGGTCTGGGTACAGCGCGGCCGCCAGGCCCAGCCCACCGAGTCACTGAGTCTAGACTCCAGATGTGATTTCACCAACCTCCAGTGTTCTGTGGAAAAGGACTTTGGCTCTGCCGTGGGGTGCAGGACCCTACCCTGAGTCAGGACCCCACTCCCCAGCCTGGTGTGTTCCTTGGTGTGAGGTTGGCACTGCATCCTGGGAAGTTCTGCATCCTCCCTGGCTTTGGGTGGTAGCAGCTGCATCCATGCAGCCTCCAGAGGCCCCAAGAGCACGCTGGAGGGGTGCACAGGGTAACCCCCTGTGCCAGCATCACATCACCCTCCTGCCTCCCTGCTGCCCTGCAGAGCTCCAAGCAGCTCCTGCCTGCTGTAGGTGTGGTGGAAGCATGGCCAGGAGCTTTCCCAGGGCTGCAGGGAGCGGAAGGCCTGGGGAGGGGAGAGCAGGGTCACCCCTCACCCTGCCTGGCTGATAAGCCGGGGCCGGCCAGGAGGAAGGAAGTGTGCTGGGCCCTGCAAGGAGCCGCCAGTGGAGCCAGCACTTCAGCGCTCCCCGGTTCACTCTCCTGCTGCACCTGGGCCTGTGGCACCTCCGGTCCCGGCAGGGCCGAGGCCACACGGCTCCACTGTGTCTGGAGCGCTGCTGGGCCACTTTCCCCTCGCCACAGGGTCTCTCCGGCTCGGTGGGGGCTGCGGAAACATGGATGTGCCGACTCCAGCAGGAAACCTTCGTCCACTTAACTGCGCACAGCTAGGGCAGGGGCCAAAGCTGCCTCTTCTGCTGCCAGCAGATGTAGGGTTTGGGATGATCCTCACCCACCCACTCACCCATGGCACCCACAGCAGTGGGATAGATGCCTGTTGGCCAGAGGAGCTCATGCCCCTTGTGCCAAGCTCCCACCAGGAATTGCAGTGGGGTGGGATAGGCTGAGCTGGGGTGCCAATGCCATGCAAGGGGAGGGTGGTTTCATGTTTTCATGTTTGGGGAGTGCTGGTGCCTATGATTAGGGGTGATATACCAGGGCTGCTTTTCTCTAGAGCCCTGTGGAGCCTCCCCACCACAGCAGGGGTGCAGCTGGGCAGTGATGGGTGCTGCGGTTGTACCTCATGCTCTGCTACTCAGGGTGGGGGATGCTTTGCTGTGATGGTGGGTGCTGGTGGTGAGAGCTGGGGTCCTGTGTGATGATGGGTACTGGCAGTGGCGCCTGGCCGGCGGCTGCGAGGAGGGAGAGGAAGCAGCCCAAGGCAGCCCCAGCCCCGGCCGGCCGGCGAGGAGGGGCAGGAAGCTGGAATAAATCCCAGGAAGGGCTGCCTGGCTCCAGCTGGTCTGGGCTGCAGCGGATGGAAGCTGGGAACGGGAAGGGAGAAGGCGGGAGGGGAATGCGCAGGGGCTTTCTCAGGCCTCGGCCCCGCTCCAGCTGTGCCGGCGGCCCCGGCACATCTGCAACCCTGGCTCAGCACTGTCATGCGGACATGGGGGGGTGGAGGCTCTGCGTAGCCTCAGGGATGACCTGCGGATGGCACCGGGAGAGGGGATCCGGATGAAGCCCAATCCCAGTCACGGCAGGAGCAACCCAAGTTTGGGGTCCTGGTCACTGGTGGGGGCCCAGCCTGACCTGCGGTGTCTGTGCTGCTTTCCAGGCCTGTGTCCGGAGTGCGGGGCTGGGTGCTGCCGGTTCTGGGGTGCCGGTTGTACCCCGTTCCCCCCATCACAGCAGCACAGGCAGTCCCGCGGCCCCTCGGCGGCCTGGCGCGGCCGTGCCCTGTGTGGTCCCGGCGGGGCGGGGGCGGCTGGGGGCTTTGATGTGCTCGGCTGCCGGGCAACCCCTGCTCAGCGCAAAGCAGCCGCCCCCCGGCTGCCCCCCCGGCCGGGCTGAGCCCCGCCAGCACCATATGGCCGAGGCTGCTGTTACCGCGCCGCGCGCCCCGTTCCCAGAATTGAGATGGAAATGAAGCTCTGTGTTCTGCCGGACAACACTGCTGCGCCGGCCGGCACGCCGTGCCAGGCCGGGACCCCGCGGCCAGCTGTGGCCAAGGCAGTGTCTCGGTGCCACACTGGCAGCCCCGAGCCCAGCGCCTCATCTCCAGCACCCCAACATGCAGAGGGATATGGTGAGGGTGTCCTGTTCTCGGGGGCATCTCACGGGCTGGGGCAACTGGAGCGGCTGTGCCAAGGCGGCTCTGCCACGTGTGTGCCATGACAGCCACCGCGGGCACGAAATCCGTCCACAGCCCCACGCCGCTTGGGGTGGCCGGTGGCAGGGGCGCGGGGTCCGGCTCGTCCTGGCATTGTTGGCGGCGCAGCTGGCGGTGGCGGCGGCCGGCCGGCGGCCCTGAAAGACATTCCTGTGCACAATGTCCCCGGCCTCCCGCCGCGGCCCGGCCACTGCCGCCAGATGGGGGCTAATTAGCAGCTTTGAGAGCCGCGGTGGGAACTGGGCAGCACCGGGCCCTCCGCCGAGCCCTGAATGGAGGGGGCGACCCCAGCGCCGTGCCCACCCTGGGAACCGCCACCGCACCAGGCTGGGGGACACAGGGAGGAGGGACGGAGGGAGGGACAGGGGGATCCAGCTCCCCCCAGCCAGGCTGGCAGGGTTGGAGTTCATGCATGCTCTCCAGGATTGCTGCCCTCCCCAGAAGAGGAAGAAGAGGGGGAGACCTTCAGCTCCCTGAATGCCTGGGGACGTGCAGCAGGGTCTGGCCCTCCACAGCCCAACAAGCCCATAAAGGGCTGGGAGAGCTGTGCTGGCACTTGGGTACACGTGTTGGTGCGCAAGGCAGGGTGTATGTGTGCATGAGCGTGCATGTGTGTGTGCACACGTGTGTTTGTGTACCTGTGTGTGCTTCCATCCGCATGTGCCTCTGTTGCGTGTGTGTACTTGCGTTTGGTCTCCACAGGTCCGTGTACGCACGTCAATCCTGTGCACATATCTGGGGATGTCCCGCACACATCTGTGTGTGCAAGCACGTGTGTGTCCATGCCCTTGTGTGTGCACACGCACTCCCACCCTGCGTGTCTGTGTGTGTACACACACCCGGGAGTGTCTGAGGCTGCAGCATTGTCTGCCTCCCTCCCTTCCCACACCATTTCGTGCTGCTCGGGGTGTGCCGGGGTCTCGCTCGGAGGCCCTCCCTGGGCGCTGCCTGCCCTGCCTGCAGGTGCGGAGTAATTAGCAGTAACGCTAATTACAGCCCGGACCAGAAACCCTTCGGGGCAAGGACCGGCTGCCTCGCAGAGTGGCGGGACCTCCACCGGTTTCCCCCGCGGCAGGACCGTGCTCGCAGCCCACTCCCCGCGCCGCCCCACGCACCCAGTGCTCGACCCCTCTGCCCGTCCCTCAGGTGGACCCGAACGTGGTGACCGCCGCCCCGGCAGCCGCCCCCGGGCAGCTCTGCGGAGGTTTGAGCCCCGGGACAGGGGCGGAACGGGGAACTCCGAACTTGGGGCGGGGGGCGCGGAGCACCTTGTGAGGATGCCAGTGTGCCTGTGCCACCGTGGGGCCCCGGTGCCCCCGTGCCCCCATGAGGGTGCAGATGTCCCCAGGGGTCCCTGTGCCTCTTGTAACGTCCCGGTGCCTCCGTATCCACGTGAGGATGCTGGTGTCCCCGTGGGGGTCGCGATGTCTCCGTGGGGGTCCCGGTGCCCCCCGTAGGGGCTGCAGGTGTGTGTCCCCCGCCCCGCCCCCGTCGCCATGGGCACCGCCCGCCAGGCGCCGCGCTGACAGCGCGCGGGGTTTATGAATGGGTGACGTCACGACCCTGGCGTCTCACGGTCTGAGCCGCCGCGGAACGGGGGGGCCGCGGGCAGTGCGGGGGGGCCCGAGCGCCCGGAGGGGCACCGGGGACCGGGAGGGGGCAAGGGCCGAGCGGGGCTGCGGGGAGCCCGACACCGAGAGCCCGCGGGGCAAGCACCCGCTTTAATTGCGGGGCAGGGTGGACACTCCACACCGCCGGTGTCCCTGTGGCGCAGCCCAAGCCTGTCACGGCTCTCTCCCCGCCATTGCCCCTTTAAGACGCTGCCCTCCGGGGCGCATGAATGGAGTAGGCGGGGCTGTGTCCGTCACTGTGCGCTCCTATTGGCCGAGGATTCCCCGAGGCCCCGCCCACCCGGCGGCGGCGCTCTATAAATTGCGCGGCGGGGCGCGGGCTCCTTGTCCGCCCGCAGCGTCCCCGTTCTGCCCGCGGCGCTCGCAGCCTCTCGCCATGAAGGTCGCCGCTGTCGCTTCTTCGCCGCTTCCCGCGGGTGCCGGTGGTCCGCTGAAGGCGGTGCGGCCCGGGGAGGCCGCCCGCTGCGGGCCGGGCCTAGGGGTGTCCCCGGTGGCGGCGGAGCAGGCGGCCGCCGCGCTGCTGTACGATATGAAGGGGTGCTACTCGCGGCTACGGGCGCTGGTGCCGACCCTGCCGCGGCACCGGCGGGTCTCCAAGGTGGAGCTGCTGCAGCACGTTATCGACTACATATGGGACCTGCAGCTGGAGCTGCAGTGCGGCCCCCCGCGCCCCGCCGCCGCTGGGGACTCCCCCGAGGTGAGTGCGGACCCCACGGCACCGGCTCAGACCCGCGCTCCTGACGGGCAGCACCGGCGTTCTTTGGAATCTCCTTCCCCTGATCTGCATCGCGCCCTCTCCTTCCCGGGGATGTCCCTTCCTCCTGTCTCCTTTCCATCGCTGCCCTCTGGCACCCTCCTGGCAAGTATTAACCGACCGCTTCGTGTCCTTTTCCCGCAGGCTCCGTGCATTCCCGCTGCCGATCGGATCCTCTGCCGCTGAGACCGCTCTGGAACCACCACGGACATCATCCCCGGGATCCCGGTCCCACCACGGACATCGTCCCCGGGACCCCGTCCCTGAGCACCGCGGTTCACCTGCATCCCTGGCTCCCCGGCAGGGCTGCCCTGGGGGTCCCCCCGCAGTCTGGGCAGGGGGTGCTGTGGGCCGGATCCTTCCTTCTCAGATTGCTGAGAGCATTCCCCGTATTGTATATTACAATGATGCTGGAGAATATTGTTCTACAATAGCTGGAGTTTTGTTATTAAACAAGCCCTGATGACCACACGTGCGTTTTCTTCCTGCCCCTCACACACCCTCCCCTGGGTTTTTGGTGTGTTTAGCCCCGGGGATATGTGCCCCATCAAACGGTGCTCAACTTGTGCAGACCACTGTGGGGCTGGGTAGGTGTGCTGGGGGATACAGGGTCCCTGTGGTGCTGCTTGGGAAGGGGTTTCTCACAGGCTGGTCCCAATTCCCCATGTCCTGGCATTACCCCCAGAGAGCCTCTCCCAGTGGTTCCCGTGGGGTTTCACTCCCTCTTTAACTCCCTGGGATCAGACATGGGGTGTTGAGGTGACAGAGGAGGAAAGATTGTTTGCACCCTGTCTTCTGTGGTGGGATAATGCTGCAGCAGTGGGATGCATCTTCCCCTGATCAGGCACCTTGATGGGGTGATGACACAGAGGGTTTTGTGGGGTTCTGTGCCCAGATGGGAGTGTGGTTTCCCCATCTCCCTGGACAGGGGTGTGTTCGAAGCCTGGAATTCCCTTTGCTCCCCCTCCCAGCTGGGCCACCTGCACCCAGCAGCCTTCCTGAGGCTCCCACAATTATTGCTCTGTCAGGACTGGGGGGTTACATGGTGATGATGCAGGGATTAATCCCTTTACAGGGGAGACCAGTTACAAGTCCTGTGGTGCTTATCTCTGTGGCCCCGCCCCTGTGGTTCCTGCTCTTCCTGGTGCACCCCCCTGCCTGTGGGGACAGAACCTCTTGGGACAAGGAAATTGCATCAGGGGTTGTGCAACCCCGAGGGCTGGGGGTGCCCCGGGCAGCTGCCCTGACCTGAGCTTCCCTGTGACTCACAAATACCCAAGGACCGCCCAGGCTCCTGTTCCAGATCTGTTCAGACCTTCATACGGGCCTGCCAGGGGACAATTGGGGTGCCTGGAGAGGTTCTTGTTGCTCTAGTGGGACCTTTTAGGCGCCCCCACCCCCCCGCCCCAGGGTCCTGCAGCCGAGGGATTTGGGGCTGGAAGGGTTGGCCAGTCCTGGGCACAGGGGTGTGTATGTGTGAGGCTCTGCGCCCCCTTTGTGTGTGATTGTGTGTTCTCAGGCACGGTCACAGCTGCCGGTGTGTCCGTGCCCACTCGTGCTTTCCCAGCCCGGCAGATCCCCTGCCTTCGAGGGGACAGGTGCCTTGGGGTCATGGGGACACTGCCTCGCCTGTCCTGGCAGTGACAAAGCAGCAGGGGACACGTAGCGGGGCCGGGAGCTCTGGTTCTCTGTGGCTGAACTTGTCCATCATTGCATGGGTCCCCTCCATCACCCCCAGCTCCTCTTTATCGTCCCCGTTGGTGTCTCCTTCACCGCCCGCCTTCCTCCCAGTCCCGGAGCACGGGGCGGTGGGTCCCTCTCTCGGTGCCCGCTCGCACTGCACGGCCCCGCCGGCCTCCTGGAGTAGCCCGAAAGGTCTCAGGACAGGGAGAACCGGGACTGGGGGCTCTGCTCGGGCCGGGGGCTGTGCGGGAGGAGCTGGGGCTCTTCCCGTGCTGTGTTCCCGGGTGCCGTCCTTACTTGTTGCCGCCTGATGTGGACGCTCCCGCTGGAGCGGTGGGGAGAGGGGCTCCCCGTGTGTCCATGTGTGTTCCCATGTCCCTGCCTGACCCTGCCCAAGCCCTGTGTGCCCCACGACCGAGCCCAGCCTGCAGCCCTGGCCATCATCCCCTCCTTATGTGGGGTGGGCACCACCGGGTACTCGGCACAGGAGAGCTGGGAAGGGGCTGATGGAACCAGCCCAGGCTTGGGGCAGGGCTGAGCCGCCTGCACGTGTCGGGATGCCGGATGCGGCAGCACCAGGATGCACCGGAGAGCCCCAGGGAGTGCCCAGCCCGCGGGCACCTGCGCCCCAACCGGTCCCTCGGTGTTTTCGTGGGACCTGATTCATCCCGGAAGGGATTAGGGACGGGGGAAATGGGTGACGTTGTGGTCTGGCCAGGACCCGGGATGGACACTGGCGTCAGAGCTGGTCCCTGCTGTTCACTGCCACGTACAGTCCCAGAGACACGGAGGAGCCGGGACCCATGGCAGGACCTGCGGCCCCTGCGGTGGGGGGCACCACACCCCCCTGTCACGGTGAGTCTGGTGCAGGGCAGAGGCACCCTGGGATAGAGGGGCTGTGGTGGGCATGGGGCTGGGGGTCAGGGTCACTCTGGGTCACTGCTGGGGGCTCTGGCCACCACTGCAGCCATGGCTGGTGGCACTGGGTGTCCCAGGCCAGTGGGCAGCTGCTTTCAAGGCCTCCATAAGGTACATTATGTAGGGCTGTGGTCCTTCTGATGAGGTTGCCCGTGGGCTCTGTGTGCCCCTGCGGTGCTGAGATTAGGCCCTGGCCCTCCTACAGATACCTCTGGGTCTGCCAGGCTGGATCCAGGAGAGCAGCTGAACCCGTTATCCATAGCCCATGGCACTGGAGGGGCTCACCCTGGCACAGTCCCACTGATGGTGGGTTTGGCAGTGCAGGTGGCTCCTTCCCCACACAGGGTTTTTTGGAGGGGATTGCACAGTACTGCTCTCACTCTGAATGTCCCAGCCTTTCCATTACCTCCTTGGGGGCTGCCTCTGTACCCCGGACACCCTGATCCACACTGAAATTTAGGTAATCCTGCACAGGGTTCCCAGAGCCCTTCCCAAAGTGGGTACAGCTGCTGTTCCCTTGCGTGAATGGGTTTGAGCCCTGGTTGCCCTGGTGCAGGCCCCCGTTCCCAGGACCAGCTCTTTGTGTCTCCCTCTCCTCCACTGCTCCCAGGCAGGGCACAGCTGAAGCTCTCCAGGGACCTTGGCCCCGCCAGGTGTGTCCCCACATGCTGGTGCTGTGCCCCTGTGGGTAGCCCCAGCTGGTGTCCCTGGCTCTTGTGTACCCCCAGGGTGGGGGGCTCCAGGGGGTGGCGTGGGAGCCTGCATTCCCCCGCTCCCACGATGGGCATGAGTGCAGAACAACGGGGATCCAGCTTCCCCTTTGAGTCACGCATTGGGCAAGGCTGGGCTTTCGGTGGCCAGAGCACTGTGGTGTCCCCATGTGTGCTGATGTCACCAGGGGCTCCCTGTCCCCAGTATAAGTGCTGGCTGTGCTGGTGGGTCTCTACACCAGCTGTGTGTCCCCCAGACATGTTCTCTGCTCCAGCCTCCAGGGCCCAGGACCAGCCTCAAGGTACTGTATGGCTCTGCCTCCTGCTCCTGCTGCCCATCTGTGTCTCTGCCACCATCGCCAGCCCTGGCACCAATCCTGGCATCAAGGCCTGGCTGACCCAGAGGACACTGGAATTTGGTGAGTCTGTGCTCCTGAGTAGGCAGGGGTGGGGGGCACCAGTGGGGGATGGTGCCCAGACTGCTGAGGAATGAGGAATGCAGGGGAATGAGGGGCATCAGTGGGCACCCCAGGAATGATGCCAAGTCTGCTGGAAATGGGAGATGGAAGAACCATCCTGGACCTGGCTCCTCACTCTCCTGACACCCAAGGTACCCCAGCCCCTTCCTTGGTGTCAGCCCAAATTCCCACTTTGCCCCAGGCCGGCGCTTTGGGCTGGAGCTGCTCCAGTCGATGCTGCAGAAGGAGCATGAGCTGAACCTGACAGGTTCCTACAACACCCCACTCCTGGGAACTCTCACCTACGCTGTGCCACGGTAAGAGCCACCTCTGGGGTCCCTGTCACTGTCCCCATCCCTGTCTCTGCCACAGCCACAAGCACAACTTGCCTGTGTTGTGCAGGATTCACATCCATGAACTGCAGATGAACGAATCCACACTGGACTTTGCCGAGGACGTGGGGGTGAGGCTGGTGGTGCAGCGTGCCCAAATCCAGCTCAGCGCCGACTGGGCAGCCCAGCTGGGCGCCGTGTAAGTCCTCATGGGGACAGGGACAGGACTCAGGGTGGCTCAATGTCACCACTGTCCCTGTGCTCACCCACTCTGTCCCCAGCCAGGACAGCGGCTCTGTGGAGCTCCACATGCAGGACCTGGCCGTGGCAGCGGTGTTGGGGGTGAGTGAGGATGGCAGCGGCCACCCCACGGTTTGGAGCGCCGGCTGTGACAGCCACAGCACTGACCTGCACATGGAGTTTCACCATGGGTACAGGTGATGCCAAACCCTCTGCTCTGTCCTGTCCCTGGCATGCCATTTCTACTGGTGCCCCAGCCAGGGTGGTGGGCTGGGAGAGGCTGGGTGGGTGCCATGAGGTGATCTGAGCACCCCACTCTGCCTCACAGCTGGCTCTACAACCTGCTGGCACCTCTTCTCCAGAGAACCCTGCAGCAGCAGCTGAACAAGCAGGTGGGTGCACCCCCTGTGCCGTGGGGGTGTTGGTGTCCCTGACTCCCCCAGCCCAGTGTGAGGTTTGGACACCCTCCTCCCTGGGCTCACTGACACCCTGCTCTGTTTCCAGCTCTGCCTCATGCTCCACAGGGGCGTTGACAGGCTAGACACTGCCCTGAAGCACATGAAAGGTGGGTGAGGGACCCAGGACTGGGGACAGGCAGGGTGGTCCTGGGGGGCTGTGGACAGGACTGATTCCCAGTAGGGTCTGCAGGACCCCACAGATCCTGACAGAGCCAGGCTGTGGGAGGGGCAGGTGCTCTGACTCCTCCTGACCACCCCATGTCCCTGCAGTGTCCACTCAGCTGGACACCTTTGCTGCCCTCGACCTCTCCCTGCTGGGACCGCCGGCCTTCACAGACGAGTATGGGGACATTGCCCTCAAGGTAATGTCATGATGTCATCCTGGGCATCCCTGGGCCAGGTTTGGGAACAGGGGAGTCTGGCTGATCCTCACATCCATCTGTGTGTCTGTGCAGGGAGAGATCTTCAGGGTGGGCACGTACCAGCAGAGACCCTCAGCACTGCCTGTAGTGCTGCCTGTGGCATTACCCATGGCACTGCCCGTGGCTTTGCCCACGCCCCCGCCCAAGACACCGCCCATGGCACACGAGCCCATGCTGCTGCTGGCTGTCACCGAGTTTGTCGCCAACTCAGCTGCCTTCACATACTTCACGGCCGGGGCCCTGCGCAG